GCAAGCTACTGTTCCTCTTAATAAAAAGCAACCCAAAACTAGGCGATTTCTGTTACCTAAGCAACTACGCTTTCCACACCACGTGCATGCCTGGATGCCCTGTTGAACCACAAACCACAAGCTGCATCTCGTTTCTGCAAAATCCATTGCATCTCCATAACCTCGGTCCACAATTCTCTTTAGCTAACACATTTCCTTTAAACGGAAGTTACCTTATTTCAGACCTGTGTTTTCTAAGCATGTCCTTGCGTTCAGGAAAGCAAAGGAAGAAGACACGCTGTATGCCCTACTGTCCCCTGATACTTTCAGAGAGCGGAGGATGGATGAAATGTCTTAAAATTAGCGAGTCAATATTCAGAAATACCACCACCAGCACCTTCAACGTCCTCCAAGCCCAGCGAACAGAAAAGACAGGCCATTACTGTGACTTTCACTGTTCAGTTTCAGGTGTCCACAGCTTCCTGGAGCAAGCACAAATTGAGCTTCACCATTATTATATAGTAATTTAGAAATACACAAGTAAACAATATTCTCCTTGTTTGTCATATTAGGACAGACTTAGCAAAAGCTTGCTAGGTTTTATGGAGATCAAAGTCATGGACGGCATGACTTTTACGACAAAAAATATGTAGATTAGAAGGTCATGTAAATCAATGCTATTGGGATGTAGTACTCTTTGAGAAACTTTTTTAAGACTGTATTTTTCTGCATGATAGATTTTAGGACACTGCTTTTTGCAGTAGCAAATGCAAACATGATGGGAAGACTGACCAAGCATCAGTTTGAGGTCCGCAAAATCACTACCTTCTGAAGAAAATTGTTAAATGTATGTACGCACCTCACAATCCTGAGTCTCCTATTCATCCTCAGTCCTTCAGTCTATTATCTAGCTGCTTATCATTACTTCAGTAGCATGGCTAGCTTATTCAGGCTCACCTGGCTTTGTTAGTCTTCACAAATACTTGGCTCGATGCAAGGACTTCATGTTACTCATCCTCACTCAACTTTTCCCTCTCTCAATCTTTCCACTAGCCCAGCAGGAAAAGAATTTGAAGTGATCTTAAATTCATATTCACTGGGGAGCATATATAGATTGCTAACCATTCCATGGTCCACTTTCCTAAAATCTTCTGGAAAGCACAGGTTGTGTTACCATAGAGCACTTGCCAGAGCAATCCTAAGTAAGAAAATACAGCTTATGTGAACTGTAGGGGAGAAAATAGAGAAAAAAACCCACAAACCACCCCCAAAAACTCTCACAAAACCAAGAAAAAGATTCTTCTGTCCTAAGATAAACTTGTCTCAAATTACACTTACTTTTAAAATGTAGTTCCTCACTCCATTTACAGATGCATCTGTTGAAATACTGTGGGGTATGTTCTGTTCAAAATAGTAAAGTACTTCAAGTCCAATGAATTCCAGAAGCTAGGAAGCTAAGAGACAGCATGGCAAAGTCAGTGGGTAGCATCCTGAAGTTACAGTACTAAGCTTTCAACTAAAATACTAGAGTATCTTAGTGGAAAAAATACTGTTTGAACGTTATTTAAAGAAAAAGAAAAAGCCTATGCTGCTTGCTTTGTTACTGTCCATCAATCTTTTCTAATGTGACATCATTATATGCAAAAACAACTGTTCTCAGGAAATATACTGGTTTCTACTGGAGAAGAAAATTGTCATGAGACCACTCCTGGCAACCTTACTTTAAAAGTCATCTAAAATAGCAAAACTGAGAAATCCGTTTTTAAGTGACAGATAGGCCTCCAGAGGATAGAGTTACGGTTCTTTGGGTTTCAAGGAAAGGATAATCAGCACAGCCTTTATAAAGCTCATACAGAATTCACAGCCCGGAAAGCGAGAGATAACATGGGCTTAAAGTCTGTTGCACAGGGGCTTCCGTGGCCCCACTGAGAGCCAGTGGGGTGATTGATGTGCTCGAGGATTGCCAGTTACACTCGCCTCGCGGCCCTCTCTGCGGGTGCCTTGCTGCTTCCATCTTCATCCTCGTGACCAGGGCTCACAAGAGGGCCATTAGAAAGCGGGCATCAGCTGTCTTTTGCAGGTAATTCTTTTAAAGCTTTCTAATTCTCCATCAGGACTGCGGAATCGAAATAGAAGTCTCACAAGGTTATCAAATAGCTTCCTCTAAAATTGCAGTGCTTTTGTCTCACCTCAATGTGAGTGTCCCTCGCTTACTGTGCATTATTTACATGGAGACACCACGTCACAGGCGTGAAACTAAACCTAATGGATATCAAGTATACCTACCTTTTATAATACAATTATAGTTATTATTTTCTATTTAAAACCTTTTAATCTCTTGAGTAAGGTCCTTCTGTGGATTCTAGGTTTTGGCTAAAAAGGAAGACAACAATGAGAATTACTTATTTGGAAGCACTGATCACCTTTTACATTAATCAGCTCATGAAAATTGTTATTCCTTATCTTAGAAGATACATTTAACTTACCTTTAAAATATTTTGTCTAAAATGTATTTAAAATGTTGCACCTAGATAATGCAAAACGTTCTCCTTATGTAGCATATTTCTGTGTACTTACCACTCACGTATTTAAGTACAAATACTCTTAGCTGAATGCACTGATACATTTTGAAAGAGATGTTATTGACAACGCAAAGCATCAGAACCTGACGAAATCTTCTAATTTGTGCAATAATTATTACCTCTCAACTTACAACTGTGCAACTTATTGCCTCTCAAATATTAAGTGCACCATCAAAGCACTTTATAAGTATACATATATACATAACTTAGTGACAATCTATCAATGTATCCTAAATTTGATCACATTGCATTTGTAAAAATATGCAAAGATTCTGTCTGTAAGGTCTCTATTTTGTACATTTTAGCAATGTAAATGAGATTGCAGCCATTAAACATTTATGACTATACTTGCTTCCAAAAAATTGTACATTTATGATAATATGGGAAACATGTTGGTGCTGCGCATTAGTTTTATTCTATACATAAATGTCATCTTGAGCAAATAAGAAGTCAAGGTAGTATAAATTACTGAAAAAAACTACTGTAGTAAATAATTACAGAGCATATTAATAAAGAAAACTGTAAGAAACATTTTTTAGTACTTTGGTCACATATTGGTAAAATTTATTTTAAATGCAGAAACCAGACTGATACATGTGTCCACACACACAACACGCATAACACACATTTCACATGTAAGTATCAACATCTTCCATTTCAGTTTCTCAAATTTTGTTTCCACAGCACTATTTAGCTTTATTTTTAATAATGACTTCCATTAATTTATTTTAGATTAGCGTCAAAATAAAAGGGTAATATGTTTCTAGAAACTGAAGCTGTAAAAAAATAAGCCTACAAATTTAGAGCCTTTAAGCCAAAAAAATTTAAGTGGTGACATAGCTAAAGATAGTAAGATTGAGATTGCACAAGTAAATGTTTATGCAACACCCCCCCTCCACTTAATATTGTGTTTGTTTGAAGTGAAAAATGACTAAATCCTGAGAATAATCAAACTAAACCATGTTGCACTATCAGAATACAACAAAAGTATTCTCATGCTGACAGTCACATACAACTTGTTTCTTCCTTACACTAAACTAACAAACTTGGAACATTCCTCTCCACCCATTCCAAAGTTAATATTCTTAAGACTGATTTTTTTTTTCCCCACTCAAACATACCCTTTAAAAATCTTAGTTAATAATTTCATTTTGATTAATACGGTAAGATATTTATTCGTGTAACTCATTTCTGTAAGGGGTATGTGGGAAAGATTTCTAATGTCAAAATGCTGAATATACACATTGCATTGTTTTAACATCTAAAATCTTTTGGTAATAACATGTTATGGAAGACTGAGAGTGTAATAGAAAATCATCAAGTAATGCTGCTTCAAAAAAACTCTGAATGGGGGTTTCATCCTTGCTGTAATTAAGTGGCATAATGATATACCTTTACACAATATACCAATGGTTGTCTCCAACGTAAGAACAACAGCATATACAGAACATTTAAAAAGAAATATATCAAATTATAACCCTTGTTGCTTATGTATCACTTGTGATTTTTTTTTTAATGTAAAAATAAACACATTACATGGAAATACTATACAAGTCCTTAAAAATCTGGAGTTTCTTTTGTTTTCAAGATGGTATTTTAGTATTATCGAGATTAAAAAGTGCTGGAGCTTATATGCATTACTGGTTGGTTCAGTTTTCCATCAGAATTGGTGACTGAATTAGTGCAAAACTTTCATTATGTGCCATTTTCCTGTATGATGTATTAGACAATATAATGTTCAGCTCTATTTTTCCAACAGCATTTTTTACCTATGCCAAACTCAGTTAACAAAACAAAGAAAACAACACATAAAAAAAACTTTCAGACAATTCAAATAGCAAAATTTTGTATAAAATGTATTTATCTTAAACTTCCCTTTCTAGCTCCTCCCCCTTCAGATTGCCAGAAATACGAAATAAGCATCTGGTAATGTAATCTCTAATAAGAGGTATTGCTACTGTAAGAGAAACTTAAGAGTCAAACATACTCTACTTGTATGCATTTGACTATCAGCTTTCTAATGCTTTCTAGGTTTCATTTTTTTGGTAGTAGGTATGCGTGTCCACTCAAACTTTCAAATAATTTTATAAAAAGTTAGAAAAATATACTCAATATTTGTTGCATAACCTTCCTATATTCACTCTATCATACATGAATCTTACAAAATGCTTTAGAACCATTTATTAGCTGCAAAAATACCAAGCACTGCGCAGCACCTGGAGAAAGGTCTTGGTGAGAACATACAATCCAGTATTACGTGATCTTGAAGGTATTTTTCTTCAGGTTTACAGCTATGTATTTTCACAAGTAAACCCAATAAATATTCAATACCATGTTCATATGAGCATCCATGGACACACAGACCTTTCTTGATCTCATGCTAAATCCTGAAGAAGAGCTGGTGACGTGAAAAGTAGATGACAAAGTCTGATCAACTAAGTACGACAGATTGAACTCCAAGTTTAATTGTCACCAAGGCATTTTGCAACAAGCTGAAAGACTGTCATTTTTAAAATTTTCCTTCAAGGGCAAAAAACGTTTCTGATATAATTTTTTTATAATGTTTTTAAAATGCCATTTGTGATCCAGTTAAGCAATGACATCATGGGTATCACTGTTGGGTCTTTGGCGTATAGTCAGCGGGGGCAGAGGCTTTCCATAGAAATCTGCATAAGAAATGCCAGAGAAGAAAAACACATTAATCTGTTATTTACCATCTCCCTTGCTTAAAGGCTGTTTAAATAAGGTAAATTCTTGCTTCCTTAATGAAAGCTAGGTAGCCTACAACTTCAGAGCCAATTCCTACAAGCAACTTTCAGACACAGTGCTAATTAATGTCTGGAGGTGTATTGGCCAAAACAGGGTTTAATTACATTTTGTTATACATGCATCAGCATTTGCAGGATCAAGCCCAAAGGTAATCTGTAAACATCCCTAAAAATAGGAAATGAGACATCAAAAGTGTACAAATAACAACTGAAAAAATGAAGTATCAAAATTTGAATGTTGCTGTAGTCACGTCTGCACTGCAGCAAGTTTTAAGTGACAGCAACGCTATGCAGCATCCAAAATTTTGGGACCATTCACCCATGGTGTCTATCTTGAAAGCCATACTAACTTTCTAAAAGAACTATATTAAGAATTTTTAGATAAAAGTGCAACATTATCTTTTGTCAATAAAGGAGTTTAAAGTAGTACAATTGTTCAAGACAAAGTTATTAAGTACACCAGAAGAGAATAACAAGTTTTCTCAAACATTTGTAATTCATATAAAAGAAAAAAACAAACATGCAGACTGGTACATGCAAAGCATTTCACAAGCAAAATAGTACCGTGAAAGACAGTAAGAGGAAACAGGTAGAAATCAAGAAAAAAATAAAAGCAGCTTTTTGAAGCATTCAAATCTCAATTTCATTTACACAGACAACCTCCTCCCTAATAAAGCCTTGATGGCCTGCCAACACAAAATTCAGCTTTAACAAATCATAATTTTCCAAGAAAAATATATTCCACTTGTTCTACATATGCAATAACTTGCGTTAAAATTGCATTCCTGAGCTAAAATTAACAAAAGCAAGAAAGTTGGTTTACGTTACTCTAAGAATATGTGTACATGTCTGTAGGATCAAGGTTTTAGTTATCCTCACATTTAATCAGTAAAATAATAACACTTTTATATTATTGTTGTAAATCCTTTGATTTTAATAGAGCTAATTCAGTGTTACAGCAGCACCTGAAAAGCAACAAAACTGCAACAAATGATTATAGGGTAAATGAAAACCTGTGCAACAGATGTTTTTATTAGTCAGTTTCTTGAGGTCTGGCAAACAACTTTAGGACTGGCAGGCAATTTTACCTCCTATAATGAGAGAGGTTTTATCACTCTTGCAAATGTATCCTCCAGTGGCAATAAATAGACACTCATTACCTAGTGTTGTGCTAGAATCATTAGCAAAACTGGAAAAATTGCAGTCTTTAGTGAAAATAAGTGTATAATTAAAGATATATATAATTCACTCTACTGCCCGTTAACTCTGCCTAAACATCCAACATAATGTTCTCTTCTAAGAACAACACAAAAATGACTCAATATATATACTAAATAGCCTGCTCACTAGCACTTAAATTTCTGAGTTTGCACATTAAATCATTAAGACAGATTTATGTCTCTGAGAACACCTAGCATTAAAAACCAGACTTTTGGAGGTTGTTTCAACCTCACACTGCACTAATTTTATATATTTCAGCAGCAAGGTCTACCACATATCTGTGACACTTTCAAAAAAATCATTTTTAAGACAAAAACAAAGGAATAACTGCTACCCTAACTGACAAAGGCCTGTACTAGAATGCATGAGAAACACCTGTTCCTGTGTTTTTCCATGGACTAGCAAAAATCAACACTACAAAAAGTCCTATCTGTTTTGAAGCTTAAGGGGGTTTCTTGACTTACATTGAGGAGCTATCACATGTTTCATTGATACACCCTTGGATGTGGATGTTGCGAGTACTCCTGAAAATAATCTCTATGCATAACCAAGGCTCCTTAAACTTTTAAAAGCAGACTGTTAAACACTTTTTTCTTTCCTTGCTCTTATGGAGAGCAAATTACGCTCTAAATTTTACCTGGAGTCCTGACAAAAGCATCTGCTGGGCATCCTACTGGAATTGAGGTTTTACAGCCTGGTCTACATGAAGGTAGGTGCTCATTTGCCCCGTATACAAAGACTTTTCAGCCACTTGGCCAATAACAGTTTGTCAAAGCAAATTGTTCAACAGAATGCAGTATTGCTATAAAAAACAGTGCACTTCAGAGAATCCAAAAAACCCACAGAAAAGAAAGTCTTACTAAAGTCCCACCTAAAGAAAATAAAAAAAACCCCAAACCAAAAAACTTTATGCTTTCACTGCAAATTGTGTCTTCAAGACATTTATATCAATTAATCATGAAACCAATAAGGAAACCAGGCCTTTTTATTTCACAAAGGTTGAATGGCTAAAAAACTTTTAAAACCACCTTTACAGTGAGTTTTGGGCAAAGCTGGGAAAGGAAAAAAAAAATCAAAATTAATTTATTTCTCTGCTGAAGGGACAGCCAAAAAGAAGTTGGTTTTCAGAAAGATGCAATTCAGGGAATATTCTAAAAAATGGAACAAAGGTAGGCTCCACTGCTCTTTGGAAAACTCAAATGAGTTTCCAAGCAGGAGCAGGTTCTCCGTCTGCAAAATATGTAAAAACTCATTGAAAAACACTGTTGCATGACAGAAAACGGGCAAGGACAGAGGGCAAGCTAAAATCAGTACAAGATGGACTTGGTAGTGTCAGGTTAACGGTTGAACTCAATGATCTTAAGGGTCTTTTCCAACCTTAAATGATTCTATGGCTCTCAAATGGTCTGAGTAAAAACCAACTGCTTTAAGCAAAGTAAGTAATTGATGCTCTTCGATATCAGGACCTAACTTAAGTTTTGACAATGCTGGACCATGTGTTTGAAGAGCTTTTTTCATTTTATAAATAGTGCTTTCCTAATAGATGTTTTCTTGCTTTCTCAGGATTTTCTGTGTCTGTGTGAATCTTGTGAGTGTCTCAGAATTCCTGAAAAAAACAAATCTCAGCGAAGAGCACGCAATGTCTTGAATTCAGCTGCAAAGTTCTGAGCACTCCAAGTTTCCTCTGATCTCAATGGTTACACCTCCGGTCAAGAGATTGTTACCCTGCCAACATCTTTTCCACTGTTAGATTCCAAAACACTTTAATTATTATCCTTATTTTACAAATGGACTAAATTAACACAGATCTCAGGTTACTAACTTACACACCTGTGAGTAGGGAACTTAGCTGAAGCAGTTTTTTTCCTCTTTGCCCTACCCATGCTCTTGCTACAAAATGCAACACCTCCCTTCAGCACAGACAAAAATTGAGTATCACTCCTTCCCTTTCTTCCCCTCCCTACCTCTTCATCTGGCTTTTCTTTCTTGCCGCCTTCTCTCTCTATGCCTTTAAAAAAAAGAGCAAGATGGTTTTATGATTAAGACTACAAATTACATTTTATGCACATGAATTATGCTCCTGTGAAAATAAACATCTAGTTTTTAGATGTTTATTTTCTAGATCTTAATTCCCCTTTAGGCATCTTTTGACTCTTTGGCAGAGAAGCTCCATGTTCTGTTGCTTCAGAACTTCAGCAGGTATGTCCACATGGTGCTGTACTACGTGATAGTAGTACAATCAGTTCAAGTCAGGGTTAAGCTCAAGGATCACTACAGCAACACTGAGCTCACTACAGCAACACTGAGCTCCTTTCTCTGCAAGTTCCTCAATTCGTGTTCTCTTTGTTCAATTTGTGCAAGTGTTCCCATTGCTTTAGTTTGGCTGCCCTCCTCTCATATTACTCCAGATGTCTCCACTTGGCTTTTCAAAATTTGAAAAACAAAAATGTAAGAAAAATGAAGAAATTATCATCTAAAACTGAGAAAAAGATGCAATATGAGCATATGAAAAACGATCTTCCATGGTCTTCCAAAAATAGAAAATAGTCATTATTGAAGACAGAAGTCAAGAATCTGCCTACTACACCTTGACATTTCCAGTTATTAAACTTATTTCTCCTACCAGTTTGTGAGCTTTCAGGGACACCGGCTCTTCAGGCAAAGCAGCAGATCCCAAGCCTTATCACTGACACCTCTCCTCGCAGACCAACAACCTAGTTTTCAGTTGGAAGTCTCACTACTTCTGCAATCAAATTTATGTTGGGCTTTTCATCATAGCTGGGATTGCAGTCCCTTATTTGGAGTTGCTAACATAATGCACTTAATTCAGAGGTGCCCACATGTCTTTAGCTTTCCTTCTCACAAGAAAACAACCCCAAACCAATGACAAAAATCTTACAGACTATGCTTTTAAAACCATATGGAAACAGTAGCAGCGGATAGAAGATATTTTAGACTATCTCAAGAGGCAACACAAGGAGTCAGCTTGCACACAGCAAATGAATCTGGAGGTGGGCTATGGTTCACAGAACTACAGAAATATATGGGACCCATTTGGGTTCAGTACTGTGAAGCGATTAGCACTTCCAGATCAGATCATAAGATCAGTGCGGAAACAAACAGGCAGCTTAGTGCAGAACCAGCCTGGATGTGGAAGAGCCACTATGGATCCCAAATTAATAAGCCCTGCTGGATCTCTGCAGTCCTGCTTAGGTGTTTCTGAAGTATCCTCTCTGCTGAGTACCTCAGACTTCTTCCAGTATCCAGGTAACCCAACTCCTGTCCCCACTGTATCAGATAATGATGAACTGTCTACATATGGACAATAGAAATAAACTTTGAAACTTTTATTTTGAATGCAGTATGTGTTTGAACTCAAAGTAACTGCTCCTGTTGCTCTTTGTTATATGGCATACTATAATATCTAGGTGCATGCTGCTGTGCAAATAACTTCAGATCATTAATAGCTTCTGATATCCCATGCCACTTCAAACTTCATAAGGAAATCTATGAGAACTTATTCTTTTTGGTAAAAAAAGAAATAAGACTTGAAAAATCAAAAAGATGCTTTCTACTAAGCAAAAGGGTTAGCTTTCCATCAACGAACATTGGCATTAAGAAATAAAAAAAAAATGAAGAATGAAATGAATGTAGAAGTGAATGAACAATGGATAATGCTTTAAAACAGTACAAAACCCAAAATATTTTCAATTACCAGCATGATGTGTTTCACCAAGAGGCTCAAGTTTTCGAAGTCTATTAAGTTTGGGAGTTCCCCAGCCAACTAAAGGAAAACAGACACAGTCAAAACACGCCACGACTGCACTTGATTCTGATGAAATGTACGGAAGCCAGTTCTCTTTGGGAGAAATCAAAGCATTTAGAAATGCCAGAAGTATGTATTATATTGTATATATGGTGAATAATGGTGAAATACTTTGAAAATAAACTGATTTACCCTTAGAAATATTGATATATTTAATCACTATTTCATCAGTGAGTAGTCAAGTTTCTGACTCTTTTTTGTGACAATATCATCTTCCCCCATGGAATAGGTCAAATCAATACTGCTGAAAGTTCATACCATGAAGTGGGAAACTGCATCAAAGATTTCCTAAAGAGTAAGGTTTAGTAGCATATCTCTGTATGGACACCATTCCAGTTTCATCATTCACAAATGAATATTTTAAAGGATTAATAACCACAAATTGAGACATCAATTATTGTTTGTTAGTACACTTACCTGGTGGAAGAGCTGGTGGTGGTGTAGGATTTTTGGGAACACTGTCCTCTGCATTAATAGGTTCTACTCTGTGGCCCCTTTTTAATTTTGGTTTTTTATTTTTTTTCTTACTGTTATCTATACCAAACAGAAATAAAGCGTTACATATCATACACTTATATTCAGAGAATCTCTTAGATCATCTTTTAATACAGTTGTTGGGGTGAGATACATCAGCGTTTTCAGTCCAAACTTAAACACAAAATTATGTGAAATGTAAAACTTACACAACACTTCGCTATAGAAAATAAACTGTAAGCATAAAATATATGCACACTCTATGTTTTAATAAAGAAATTCAACTTAGCTTGGTACTGATGGAAAGTGGACCACATATTTGATTATGATAAAAATGAACCTAGTTTCAGCTACAGTATCAGTCACACCAACAAACACGCACTTTTTCAAAGCAGATTTTCCAATACAATAATCTAATGATCCATTTTTATGTTTTCAATAGATTAAATTGACACGTGGTATCATGAAAAATAATACAGACAAAGGAAGAACTATGTGAAAAATAACATTAAATGACACATCAAAAGGAGCAGTTTTACCTGAATCAAGGCATTCTGAGGCTTGCTGCTCATTCTCTTCATGCTGTAAAAGCTGTGTAGTTGTAGAATTGCATGTTTCTAGTCTACTATCATTTGTATTTTGGCTACTGCTACTTGATAAGTGCTGGCCATCCATTTGTTCCTGCTCTGTTTGCGATTTCAAGACGATCGTAGCCTTTTCAGTCTCCAACCTTTGGCGCTTCTTTTCCTTTTCAATTTGTTTTTCATTCTAACAAAAAGTGTAAGAACTTTTTTTAACAACTTCTAATGCTGTAAACTGACTAATGAGACAGGAAGGTTATTTTAAAAATCAAAATATTCCTAAAATATTTTTCTGTCCCACATCTAGCATAGAAAATATTTTCAAATAGGTGAAGAAATTAAATTTCCAATATCCTGTCTAGAGGAAAGGGGGGGAGGACAGGAAAAAAGCGATTGACAGCGAAAGAAATGATCTTTAGGTATATAGCCTGTTTTCTTGCTTTCTTTTTGGTCATATGACAAAAAAAATGCTAGCTATATAAACAACATCAACAGTCCTGAGCAAAAGGTTAGAAAACTCCTCATTTCTTCCTCTTCTTTTTTAATGTTTTAGTTAAAACAAAATACACAAGCACAGAGTTTAAGTATCCAGAAAGTGCTAGAATGATTTAGTCAAATACCGATTGTGTCATACAGACTCAATGATAGGCTGTTTCACAGGTTCTGTATCACTAAATCACCATCTCTGCAATACTCGCAGCTCTGCTATACCCTTCTCTTCTTACTCTGTATGTTATTACAAAGCATATTATCGTGCATGTAGCTGACTTTACAAGGTAAATGGATAAGGGCGCTTTTGTCCTGGAGAGAAGCAAATGTTTGAATTACTTACTAGAAAAGTCTCTGAGAGTTTATGTGTTTCTTGAGATTAAGTTCTCTCAAGTTAGCGGAATTAAAAAATATGGTACAATAAATAAGAACTACCTGAACTCAGAAACACAGGTTACGGAAACTTTATATATTAATATGCTTTTCATATTTCAAAGCTAAGAAAACTTCTCAATTGTCTCAGTTTTCAACAGAAAACAGGTTATGCTCAGAAATCTAAATAGTTGAAGTAGTCAGGGAGATTTTCTATGACTCACTACATCATTAAAACACTTTACAGGAAACTAATAGACCTTGAATATTTTCCACTCCTGAACATTCAATAGTTTAATTAGGAAATGTGTTCAGTCATCTGTTTACAACACCTTTATTTTACTGTGTCTACAAAACTTTTTGTCCCCGAATCAATAATAGGGGATTTTCTTAACATGAAAGCATTGCTTCAATGCACACAAAACAAGGCTGCCAAGTTTAAAATAAATAAATAAAATAATGCTGTGCATACAGACTTAGGACAATTCTTTTAAATGAACTATTTTTCTCATTACCTCTCAGACATTTGTTAGTAGTAGGTCTAAAACGATCCAGATTTCCACATATTCTCATACCTCAGAGATTACAGCAGATATAGGCTGGAAGGGGTTTTC